GAAATTGGTTGTGATTGTGCTGTGATGGCAGACGCAGCAGCTTTTCTCACTCGTGTTCTCAGTTTGTAGTAGAGCTCTGTACTGGCGTTAAGACCCAAACCTGGCCTGTACTGTAAGGGATTCTGGAGAAATATTGTTTAGTCTCATTCCCAAGTTGACACTTTGGGTTGGTGCCACCAACGTCACTGTGGAGTTCTCTCTCCTGATTGGATGAAGTGGAAAGGGGAAACCAGAATTGTTTTTCCTTCGTTTACTGGAGAAGGTACTGGGAGACCCAATCAGTGAAGGCTGTCAGAATGCAGAGTTATTTATCATTTATCTCATTTTAACAAACAAATATTGCTTTTACTTTAACTTAAACTTAACTGCTTTAAACAATGTTTTTCTACCAACGATGGATCACATCATTATGTGTCCGTTCCTCTCAGCTTTAGATGGTGTTTTTGCTTCTTTCAGCTCATTTTTTCACTGCAGCATTACTGTTATAGTTCAATTTCACAGCTTAAGGTGCGGCAGACAGCTATTTTCTGCAAAAAAAACCTCTAATAAACCAACTGTATGGTACCTTCCCAGCACCAAACAGCAGAGTAAGCAACTAGATGGTGAACATAGTGGAACATTTATCAGGTTAAGAAACAGATATTTCCATCTGGAGCTGGTGGAGACCAAAACAGAGCTAAACTATTTGAAAGAAACATGACCCCAGAATAATGCTGATCCATGGCTGCTGTGTAAATAAGCACCGTATCAACTAAAATAGGTGATAATGTGACAATGTGGTGTGTACAGTTTGTCGCACTGCCACCAAGGGTCCAAAAAATCCATTAATGCAGATTTCAGATGTAACCAGACCTGAGACCTGAAGCAATGTTTTTGATCAGTTTCAATCTCTTTCTACATTCTCCCAGGGTCATTTAGCTCCCTCTGCACTGACACTTTTTTTTACCATTCCCACAAAGGAAAGTAAGTTTAGTCTGTAACAATAACAGACTCATTATGATTCAACGTTTTTCCCCCCTCCAGCTGTTTTATTTGGCTCGAACAATCATTATTCTAACTTGAAATGCAAAACTAGAAGCCTATTCATGTCAGCTGTTACTAGGCAACAGTGTCTTTGCCCTGTAGAAGTTGTAAAGTCTAATCCAATAATCACTGTCTACATTCTTTACAGTGGGTTTACATTACATTTACATCCATTGCTCACCTTTTTAACAGGAATTCTGTCTATAAGGGTTGGTCCTGTCTCTGTCTAAATTGAGAAATGCTGTTGATGCTTTTCTTATCTGAGTATGTTTATACAAGGTTGGGGTCCAATTCACTCTGCTGTTTTATTCATGTCGTCTTCCTGGCTGGGTCTATAAAAGCATAGTGTGTCTCCTGTTGGCAGCTGAAACCCCATTATGTTTTAAACAATAGTAGAATCCAGTAACGTTCCTGGGACCTTTGATTTTACTCAGTAACTGGCAGGATGAGTGATTGATAAAATCACAGAAAGCCTAACTGAAACTCTTTTTTTTTTTTGTCTTGGAAATTTTTTCATGGCTTCTAAAGTTTCCATTACCGCCGGCCAACAAGCAGAAATTACTGGCTAATACAAACTAGTGTCTGTGTGTGTGTGTGTGTATATTTGTGTGTCTGGTGCAGGGAGTCCATGAATCGAAAGGTGTAACGGACGACTACCTTCGACTGGAGTCTCTCATCCAGAAGGTGGTCTCTCCCTACCTCGGGACTCATGGGTTATATTCCAGAGATGGATCTTCCAATTTGCACTGCTCCTCTTGCCTATTAGGTATGTGTGTCTCAGTGTGTATGTGTGTACATATAATGCACAATGGAAGTTCTATTAAAGGTCACCGGTGCCATGTGTTTATGTGTTCAATTATAAAGTAATTCCAAAGCAATCTTTCTGTTTCTCTCTCTCGTTCTCTCTCCAGAAAAGCGTTTACAGCGCTCCTGGCCCTCCAAACCGGGCCACTCCCCCGTCGCCAAGAACCCAGTGGTACGCTCCAAGAGCTACAACGTTCCCATGCTGACCCCCGTGGTGGAGTACGATGCCGACTCGTCCGCAGGAGGTGGCACAGGTATCAGACGACACTCCGTCTCTGAGATGACGTCCTGCTTGGAGGAGAGCAGCTCTGTGGCTGAATCCACCACCGCTGCCACCATCAACACCAGCACATCCAGCCTCACCAACCACTCTCCAGCTTCCACAGCCTCTGTCGCACTTTCAGGTGCTGCTACACTGGTGATATTTTCATGATTGCAAGAGTTTCTGAAGTGATCATTGTTTCAGATGAGCTTTTGGAGCAGGTTTTTTTTGTACTTTACTGAACCATGTACATCTTTTTTGTAATAATACATCTCAGGTCTTTTCAAGAAACTCAAAGACACTTCCCATGAGTTAAAAAAGGAAAAGAAAAAGCTAAAAACAACACACTAAGAAATTATAGCTATATCTACAACAGTCAACAAACAATAATTAATTGTTAAAATCAATTCTTTATCTAAGTAACTGAAAAATGAATTAAATAGAGAAAGAACTGTCCCCAAATGTTTCAAAAAGTTGAATATGTTATAATTTATGCTAAGATTCTATATTTTTAGTTATATTTGCAAACATTTGTGGCAGTACAGGTGAACAACAGACAGTAAAAAAAACAAAAAAAACACTAGGAATGATAGCAACATGCAATGAAAGAAACATGTCCTTTTCCAGTCTTGTCTCATTCATTCATTTAAAACGTTCACTGTTCTCTGTACAGACACTGTGACCTCGGGCCAGGACCCACAGCCCAGAGACGCCGACAGTCCTGCAGGCCCCGACCCTCTCCAGCCACAGCATCACTCCCCCTGCTTCCTCCCGGCGCCTTCCCTAGGCGAGGACACGCACTGCACGGGCTCACTAGTGTCCAACTCCTCTGCATCCTTCAGAGTACTGGCTCACGACACGAGCTCCGGTCCCAGTCCTGCGTCCAGTCCGGACATCATGATGGACCACGTCCTGGAGTCTTTGGACTCCGAGCCGGAGCACGACGGCATCTTTCTGGACTTCTCCCGGCGCTGTTCCGGAGGGTCGACGCACAGCAGGGACAGCAACAGGCAGAGCGTGGTATGACAGGAGATACACGCTGATGGAGGGACATGTGCTGAGCCGTGACATTCCTCACACCCTGTGACGCCTCCTGCTGTTTCATGGAGACTCTCGCTCATCAGGGATTCTTTCAAACTGAATTATTTTTTATTTTATTTTTTATAGGATGTGGTCGCCCATCCCAAAAGAAACGAGTCAAACCTCGTGCTGACTGGTAAACACATCAATTGGGCCTTTTTTGAAGGGTATACTACAGTTGGAAACATCCGCACAGGCCTCTCTTAAGAAGCTATAATCACATAAATCACTTGACTTTCAAACTAGACTACAGACGAGGGCTTTTGCTCTGATGATGGTGATTCTTTGAATGAATTGAAACTTAAAGTATAGCAGTGATGTGAAGGTGCACATGCTGAAAAATGAAATCAAATTCAAACTTTTAACATTTCAAATGTAAAAAAAAAAAAAATCAGTTTGTGTTTCTTCTATATTGTTGGTTGAACTTATTTTATTAATTGATAATAAAAATATTAATTTTGCACATGGTCTGGCACTGAATCTAAGTCTAGATGTTTTTGCTTTATATGACGCATCTCTGTTATATTGAGAGTTGTATTTATAAAGCAGTTCAAGGGAATAAGGAACTGGAAATGGTTCCAATATGTCTCAATTGTATTGCTTTTAGGCCTCATCTATATAAGATCAGTGACACATTTCATGTCCCATTGTTTTCTGCTGCTGCTGATGTTTAAGCAAATCCATTTTTCCTGGTACCATCAAATTAAAAGCTGGTCCCAGTGCAAATTCAGTTTTCAGTGAAATCGAAGTTACTTTAAGTTTTAAATAAAGATTTAGGCTCATGGCAGAAATGTAGTTCAGTTTTTGAAAATGATGATGAATTCAGTCTTTGCAGCTTGCCAAGAAGATAACAGCCAACATTCTTCGAAACACTATTTTGGTCGGATTCAACAGTTTTTTCGAACCGTGGGCCTCTTCCTCCCACCTGTCAAATCAAAATCGTCACTGAAACTCACCTCTGCGTCAGCTCAGAGGATGTGTGAGAAAGTGATTCATGAGAGCTTTTCATAAAGATATGTTTTAGCTAAAATCTAACTAGACCATTTTTTTAGTTATTTTGAGGGCAATCATTTATATTAGTACGTGTTAACATCAATATTTTCACAGGAACATACAGGACTTTTCCCACTGCTGACTTTCAGACTCGATGTAGGTTAAAGCAGAGATTAACAAGTACCCTGAGCTAGCTCTACTCACACTCTATTGGTTCCCACTTTAAATAGCAGAAAGCCGTGTGTGTAAAGATGCAGCTACAGTATGTTCTCAGGTCTGACCTCGAGTCTATCCAAACGGGGACAAACAACCTTTAATGAGTTTTCCTTGTTTACTGGGAGAAAATAACATCCAGGCCACAAACACTTTCTGTCTGTGAATAAATGCAGCCTTTTAAAAAAATCTGATGTGTGTTCCGCTGGCAAATTATGGCTCCAATTTAATGTTTCTAAACAGTGACATCACCATGGTTTACCAAATATTCCAATGGGACTTTTCATTCTAAAAACAGACCACAACCATAACAGCAATATTTAGATATTTTTGTTTAAATACAGATATATCAATACAACTTTTCAGTTGAACACCTTAATTGTATTTACTCTGCATAAACAGTGTTATACAATCCCCATACTTTTGATTTAAAGCAGTACTGTCAGGCAGTGTTTGGTTTTTGCTCAGTCTTTTGAAATGGAAGATGAGAAAGCTTTACAGACACTGCCACCCTGTGTCGCCCCTTTCACAGTGCACGCTGCAGGGATACAGTGCAGCAGGAAGGTGAGGAAGGAGGGGATCAATTAGAGACACCTGTGAGTCCATGTGGGGGGGCAACGAATATGCAGCATGGAGGAAGAAGAGGGTGCTAAAGAAAATACATTTTAAAAGGCTTTATCCAGTGTATGTTGGTCCACTGTAAGGAGGGTACAGTGGCACAGTACACATGGACAGTTGGGAAGCATTTGTTTTAAGAACCAGCTGGATCTTCTGGACTTCCCTGTGCAACCATGTGCTGAGTGAGCGTCAGTCTCCAGAGCAGGTTTGGATTCATTTCACACTCTTTATACTCTGCTTTTGTTTGTTTTATTTAATTTACTGAAAGCGGACTGGGGGAAAAGTGTTTGTAACGAGTGTATGTGCTGCGTAATTTCTTATTGAACTACAAAAGTGAACACATTATACCAACATTTAATAATATTAAATTCATGCGCATAAACACTGACACGTGTTGCATGCACAGGACTTGACACATTATTTGATTATAGTGTAGCTTAATGAAAAATGTATTTGCATGCCTCCCTAAAAGACAATTAAGGATTTTTTTTTGTCTTTAAGACTTTTAATTTTTTGTTATCAGATGTTTTGTAAAAGTAGGTTTAACATTATTTCCTCAATTTATGAACCCCAGTAAGAATCATCCTAGCTCTGGCAGTGTTCATGTAGCTGACATTACATTATGTACAGGTTGCACACTGTTTGTTTTACAGGACACTGTTTAATCACTCAGATAACTAAAATGTAGAATCAAAAGACCAGAATATAATTTTATAGCTCATTATGATTGTTTAATATTAAATTCCCACTTAATTGTTGCTGATTGAATCGTAACTATGTCTACCAGTGGCTTTAGTTCATACTGCCACTAGGGGGCGCCAAAGCTTGAAACTTTGAAGCTCTACACATACTGAAGTGGCTTTAATATCCTTGCTTGAAAGTAAATTTGGTGTTCATCACAGTGGTGCTAAAGAGTGGTTTTCTAGCATGAAGAACAGTCCAACATGTCACTAATATAAATATCCTGCAGTATTTATACTACGTATTAAGATTTATTGCTATATTTATTTAAGTAGTCTTCTGTGATTGCCTTTTTTTCCCCATTCGGTAGGAACCTACAAAAAAAGGGTATTTTCTTGTGTTTGAAGTCTACATTGCTGTTGACAACAAAAAACAAACGTAAACGTGAAATGTAAGTTATATATTTAATGGGTAATTCAATGACATGGATCAAGTGTAAACCATAGTTAGCACTGTAGTGGCCTTGTAGTTACAACCAGGCTACTAAATGAACTCATCATTGTGCTGTCAACTGTTCTTACATTCGGCATTAAAAATAAAATTCACTTGAAAAGCTGAGTACTAAAATGATTCTACTGTTGCTCAGCGAGGCAAATGCATCTTAAATTCTAAGAGATGAAAATGTGAGTGATCACACCGAGAAAAGTCTTTGTGCTGTGGTTTCCGAACATCAAAAACAAAATTCTGAAGCAGGAACAAAGCAAAAACATTTGCAGTGCACGAAGCTGAACCCAGCTCAACTTCTGCCTGTATCTCACAGCTCTTCCGCTACAGTTTCTATCGGTGTACAGTTGTTGGGGAATTAATATCACAGACAACAAAAATAGATTTCTCCTAACACTTCTGTGTCTCTTGTAGTTTCAGGTTGGCCAGAGTACATTCAGGAAAAAAAAACAACAAATTTTGTAATGAGGCATTAGCTAGCACCAATCTTTGAAAATTTCTACTCTAAGTAACTAAAAGTTGGTTTTCTCGTCTATATTACAGCTCACAGGAAGTCCAGCTATGTGTCAACAGAAAGCTGCATCACACTGTCTGCGATACTGAAGGTCTGTGGTTCAACCCCACACACACAAACTGCACTAATATCTCCATTCAGGAGCACTGGTTACTATAGTAACATGGGTCCAGCACCCATTACACCATATAAGTTTAATGCTGATTACATTTCACTCTTTTGACTCTATATTTTACTCTAATGTAAAGTCTGAAAATAATTCTTGAGAGATTTTGGCCTCTTGACCAGAAGGTTTGTGCCAGCCGACGGCACGAGCATGCAGATTTCTTTTCAGTGGTTGTTCCAGACTGGAGGAGTGAGCTAGAAACACTGCATCTGCCAGCTGAAAGGTTTCTGATGCAGTGTGCAGACCACAAAATGCTTTTGAACAACATTATGTAGCAACTCGATAAAATGTGATACATTTTCACTTCATTATGTAATAACACAGATTTTGTAACAATCGGTTTCATTTAGTAATAAACAGCCTGAACCCATATGTATTTTTTCCCACAAAATTATAATACATTATTATAAAATGTGGGAGTTCCTTTTTTTTTTTTTAATGAACTGCATTTTGAATAAGCTGAAGCCTCTTTTGAAGTGTTCTTGGGGAGCCCGGTCAAAAGACCACTGCAGTAGTAAATCCAGCTAGAAATAAAAGCATGAATTGAGTTTTTTTAGCATTTGACAAAGTCCCTGAATTTGGTTGTAATTAGAGTAGTTGATCAGTCAACTATAATGCCAAGGGGGAACCACAGGTCAGAGTCTAATTTAATATTTACTAAGTTTAATTTAGGTTCATTGATAAAAATATAACGTGTACAGACAAAAACATCCATTTTGATTGGTTGATTACCTAATGCACCACATACATTTTTCATCATAAAAAGTGCAACTCCTGCATTTTGTAAGCAGCATAGTATGTAATTTATTACAAAATGTGGGTGTTATTAAATCATGAAGTGAAAATGTATTACATTTTGTTGAGTTATTATATAATGCAACATTACAGGCACCAAAATGAATTAGTTATTACTTAATAGAAACAATATTTAGCTGCAGAAAAGTACTCCAATGTGACTTATGTAAAACTGGTACTTTTATCTTCAGGATAAAGAAAATGGAAGTTTATTTTTCTGTTAGCTGCTTTTTTTTTGTTACACTGATACAAATCTTTGAGACTTGAACTTACACTTACCACACTGACTGATGCCAACATTTAACATCTGTGTGGAAATCGAATACCTTGTTTCTAATGAGCTATGAGCTGAGCTGAGTTTTGCCTGAAAGAATTACACACATCTAATCAATCAGATTTTTATAGTGGAACTCCTGTAGGTAGTATTGGCCCACCATGACAATGGCAGGACAGACATTCGTTATGTAAACAGTACTGTGGAACATTTGAATATTTCAGTTGGGATAAGCTGCATACGTATATGCATTTCAAACTTAAATCACTGAAGTCTATCTAAATATGATAATCAAAATGTTCTGCACTTTGTTACAGACAAACGGCCCACAAAACACTCCAGAGGGAATCAGTCAAACACGTCTCCTCCTTGTGGAACTAGAAGGCGAGACTCCCCGTGATGCAGAGTGAAGAAGGCTTCTGGCTTCAGTCCTTTCTGTTCCAGGGCCTCTCTGAGACGACCTGGTGGCTCCAGGTAGTACTGGATGAAGGAGTGACCGGACAAAAGTGTTAAAGACTATCCGTGTGCATCACCATACTTGGGCTTCAGACAGGTTAATTTTAGCCCGGTGCTGCATTGTTTTGAGCGTTTACGACAGGCTTTTGTCAGGTTGTCTCTAACTTTCCGAGCAGGGCAACGAGCCAGAGGCTGCGTTAATCTGTGTTAGCTGCAGAAATAGTCATGCAGCTTAACAAACAATGACACCTTTTGTTATGTTGCGTTACCAGAACATAATAGTGTCGGAGCACATTCAAATTTTTTTTCTCTCTCTCTCTCTCAGCAGTAACACACAGAAACTCTTTGGGCTACTGTGACTTTATAATACTGAGCAATGAAATACCACCCTAACATATACTCAGTTTCCAGTTTATCATGTACACTAAGCTAAAACTGATGTAGTCTAATTCAACAGTCTTGCAATATATCCTCCCTTCATGAAGGTTAGAATCAGTTCTGGTTGAAACTGTTTGAGATGTGTTGATTCAACTCTCTGTATGAAGCGCCACAAACTGCAGCCTCAAAAATGATCAGAGAGGTTTTTCTGCTATTTATCCTACAGTCACTGATAGAAATGGAGTGGAACAATATTAGAAACACCTGTCAGAAAAATGCAGTCCAATTCAACAGCACTACAAACTGCATCCTCCAAAATGATCAGAAAGTTGAATCAACAGTTTCATCAATAACTTATAAATGAAGGTAGGGTTTATTGCAGGACTGTTGGAAACGGCTAGCTTGGCTCCGTCCAAAGGTAACAAAATCTACCAACCACCACAATCACTAATTTAAGTGTTACATCTCATTTAATCTGTACAAAATCCAAGTAAAAACAGTAATTTGTGGTTTTACAGGAGATTAAGTGCTGGACTGTTTCTTGGCCAGGGCTGGTCACTTCCTAGAGTTTTTGCAACCTCATGGTAACAATGAGACTTCAGGAAGTGTGACTGGTTCCGACCAAGAAATAGTCCAGCATTTGACAGCCTGTGAAATCACATACACTCTGGATTTTGCACAGATTAATCAATTAGAGCTTCAGAGATGCGGGTAGGCAGATTGTTACCTTTTAGAGAGAGTCAGGCTACCTGATTCCCCCCCGTTTTCAGTCTTTGTGCTAATCATCATCAGCTTGCTCCAGCTACATATTGAATGGACAGATATGAGAGTGGTATCAATCTTCTCATTTAACACCTGGAAGGAAAACACATTTATTTCCCAAAATGTTAAATTATTCCTTTTTATCTAGACACAAAGCATCAGTTAGTCAGTATCTGAGTAACCTTATACTCTTACCTCATAGGCGAGAGCAAAGGTTCCCCAGTGAATGGCCACAGACTGTTTGGCCTGGAGGTCTTGGTGAATCTGAACAGCTTCTTCTGGATCTACATGCTGCCCCTGCATCATATCCCTGGAAAACCGAAGATCACACACAGAAGAAAGGACCGCGTTTTACACTCAGTGGGTACTTTATTACGTATTACAGTTCAACCCAACATCTGCCATACACTCTACCTTTAACTTCCTGATCAGATTTTGTTGACATTGTTGGAAACGTATGTTCTTTAACGTTATGTTTCAAATGTTTGTCCTCCCCATCAACAAACATGAGGGGCCATGTCATGCAGTCCAGTACAACTCCATCACTGACTAAGACCTCAATGCTAGAACATATGATTGCATTAACACCACTATGACAGCGTCAACAAAAACTGGACACGGATATATTGTGTGTGTGTTTGTGTGTGTTTGTTTTATGTACAGAACCTGGGCAGGTATGCTCCGATGGGGATTGCTGCGAGGTCAAACGGTCCAAAGCGTTGTCCGATCTCCTGGAAGGAAGAGCAGTAGCCGGTATCACCAGCGAAGAAAAATCGATGGTCCGGACCCAAAACAGACCAGCTTCCCCATAAAGACTGAGAGAGAGTACAAGATAGAGTTAAAATAAAAACCATTTAAAACTATTTTTTTGTTCTTTATTACGGATTTATATGCTGGCATTCACTTTTACACATGCCTATGTTCGTCTATATTTTTTGTAGTGATTGTATCAACTGCATTAACCAAATGAATACTATTTAAAAAAGGCATACATTAATACATAAAAAGGTCAAAGCTACTCAGTATTTACTAATAAGTAATCATTGTAATTAATTATTACCTTGTTATCGTCCAGTGCGGTGCGTTTGCTCCAGTGCTGAGAGGGTGTGCAAACAAATGTGATGTCATCATGACCCGGGACACAGTTCTCCTCCCACCAATCCAGCTCCATCACGTTCTCACAGCCCATCTTCATCAGCCAGTCCATCAAACCCAGGGGCACGAACCTGTGAAACACACATTTGGACTTAACATAAAAAGGCATACTAATAAGCTGAAAACATGAAACATAATTGAAAAATAAAGACTGTGGATTCCAAAACATTAGTGTTGACTACAGATCCACCACACGTACCAGCGTAGCTCCCCTCCAAAGCGCTCATTAAGGCTGGCCACAGATCCAGCATCCAGATGGTCGTAATGAGAATGACTGATGACGACAGCGTCGATCCTGGGCAGCTGTTGGCAGGTAGATGAAAAATGAAACCGAGCCAGCCAAAGAAACAAGGACTGGGTCAAATGCTGTCATGGAGGTCTATTAAAAATAAATAGTACTACACCTGTTCGATAGTGCAGGGGGGCCCTCTGTACCGTTTGGGCCCCAAGAACTGAAATGGCGAGGCCCTCTGGCTGAAAATTGGGTCTGTCAGAATATTGAGCCCGTCCATTTCCACCAGAACCGTGGCGTGTCCCAGCCAGGTGACTCTCAGACCTGGACCAGAGTCGGTGAGGTCTGGGTTCTGGATGAAGTAGGGTTCCATCACTGGGAGCTCACTGTCCAGAGCCTATGTGAGGGGAGGTCCCAAGCAGGAGGAGGAAGAGGATGATGAGTACGAGCAGCACAGAGAGAGGTAGAAGGAGAGAGAAAGGAACAAAACAACCACATACTGATTATGAGGAATAGAATGTTTCAGTCTTATGACTTCATCTGATCACACTTTTCAAAAATGAACCGTAATCCCCTCTGACCCGAATAACAGAGTCACTGTTTACTACTCTGTTACAGTGTTGTTTAAAGGACTGCTTCAGGATTTATCCTCATTTTCAATGGCAACATCACAAAGATAGATAGCTCACATGAGATTCTGCTTTTGTTTAAAGAGATGCACTGACTACAGAGAAAAAGATAGTTGTTGATTTGTACACCTATCCTTATGGTTTTACACAACAACAAAACACTGTGCAATCTATGCAATTACAGGGTTAAACATTCTTCTATTGCTGTGTGAAAGAAGCCTTTGAAGCCCGTTTAGCTCTTACCAAGCTCAGCAAGGTTTCCAATAGGAGATATAAATACAAAGAGCAATGTTCCTACTGACATAGGTGAAAAATACTGTATTTATTAGACTCTAATACCGATCACTTTAAGGATAATACAAGTGAAACCAAACATTGGCTTGAATACATTTGATAAAGGACTTTTATACAGACATTCAACACTTTTGTGCTTTGCAAGAACCATAAAATGCACTATGTAACAGCTTTTTAAAAGTGGGTGAGTCTAGGACGGAGTTCCTCCATAACACTAATAATGTACTGAAGCCCAACTTGTGATATTATGAAACTGTGGGCAAAACATTTCCATCTAATAATTACCCACCTCTTTACTACTTGGTATGTTGCTGTTGTTCTTATCCAACAACAGGAACCTGAGCAGGGTGGTGTAGGAAGGGAACCGCCATGTGGACCAGGGGTTGGTCCAGCGGCCATGTTTGTCCCGACAAGATTTTGTCACTTCCTCCTACAATTTGAAGAAAACAATTCCATTTTAGCCATTACATTTAAAATGTCAGTCTAAAACACAACACACACAACACAATAGTAGAGAACAGGAGAGGGAAGGAATGCTTGCTGAGGGAAGGAATTTATGGAAATGAGAAGGTGTGAGATGAAGGGGTGTGTGTGTTTAGGGGACAGGAGGATGATGGGAAGTGAAGTTTTACCTCCAGCCGGTAGTCCAGACGGAAGCTCTTGCGGGAGGAGCGAGAGGAGCTGCTCTTCCTCGGGGTCTGAGGATCCACCTCACCACCTTCAGCGCCTCTCAGCCCTGCAACATCCTGGAGCACACACACACACACAC